TCTCTTAATATCAGTGTTAGCTGACGTCTTTTGCGGTGCTGACCCCTGTAGGAGATGGGGTAAGCATATCGTCGCAGTTCGCTTTATAGGACAAATAATCCCATCCGTAATGTACTAAAGGCATGTCTCTAACGAAAAATTGTCAAGCTCGCTTCTTACTGATCCCGCAATGCAATCGTTGACTTTACTAGGTCCAAAACCTGAAATAATCGAAGACTATAGAAAAAGCTACGCAAACATTCTATTCGACGCTCGCCAATATTTGAGCGTAAGAGATAGTGTTCCGTTTAAAAGAAGATGGTCTTAAAATTAATTTCTCGGGATACTCTTTCTCTTCGTATGTCAATCTTTTGAAAGGTCATGAAGTTTATAAAGCTGAACATATTTCGAACCGATGTCGCGGCGCCCCTATTGTTAACCATCACGGAACGAGCACATGGATCATGAAATAACTGACAAAATACTCGATTTTCAGTCGATTCCCAGTCAACTGCTACGTTTTCTTTACAATTTGGTATCTAAGACTAGGTCTCGTTCTTCGTTACGCGAAAACAGAACTTGTTCCCCATAATTTGCCTTAAGCAGGCAAGAACATTCAACTAGATAAATGCTCTATATCTGCATGCACGTACTATACAGCTGAGCGATCAGTTGATTATATCTATGCTTAATTGATTGCATTTAGGCCGCACTCTACTAGCCACGACAAAGGGATAGCTATTACAGCAAAATATGTCTTTTTTTTCGTGTATGGGTTCTGTCACATTGTCCATTTAAGAGCAGCCTGTTAAAACTATAAGGAAATGTTTGTACCACGGCAGTGTGTGTGGAGCTATCGCGAGAATTACCAATAATTTTTTTAACCATATTGCACTGGAGTGTTTATGGGAACGATAGTTTAAATAGAAATCACACACGAACGCCATATTGATTCGCCCTTGTTCAAAAGGCCGAACAAACAATCGATTTTTATGAAACGTCAGACGGGAGACTATGAATGCCAATCATGCTGTGGTTTCTATTATATTATATAGTCATATAATAAAGCTATACACAACACAGCTTTCGTGATAAAAAAAATAATTTCTGAAACGATCTATACATGCGTACCTCAACTGAGGTTCGATACCTATGATCTGTCCTTTGCCTACGCATGTGTTCTGTCTGTGTATATGTGTGCGTGTGTGTTTAGTGTGTAGTGGTGGAGCCGCACTGGAGTTGGGGCTGCGGCTAAGAAGGCCGACGTAATACCATCTTTTACGACCAGTGTTTATCAGTATCAGGGTATGATACCTCTCGGACCGTTCAAGAGTATAAATGTCTGCCAAATAATATGAGTGGCCGGTGTCAAGGCAAACTCGTGAAGCAAAAGGAATAATAATAGTAATAATGCATGTAAAGGAAGTCCGTAAAAAAGCACTAGCTAAAAAATCATTGTTCTTGGTGTGTATATCACAAATAACAATCTAGTAGAGCTTTTGACAGCTCTGTGTTTAGTAAGTAGTAATAATATCTCGACAAGCTACATATAAGAAGTATCCCTGTTTCACTTCTAACATTTTGTGATAACATACCGTTCTAATTGTTGATTGTATGCATCGGTTAACCTCTCAATTTCCATGTACTTTTATTGCAAGCTTAATCAGAAAATGCTATCTAGTCACAAAACTTTTCTTTGGAATTTTTATGTTAGAAACGAAAGCTTAAAGCAGTTTTTTAAGAGGGTACTGTACTGTATCATTTAGCCATGGATGTTTGGTCTGTGCACCTGCGCGCGGGGTGCCATATCATATACAAAGTGGTACGTATGTGGGAAAAGTTTGGCTGTTCATTGTAATACACATGCGTTTATCCGCTACTCCGGTTACCAGACGAAAGCCAGTCCTTTTTAGAACATAACAACGGATGCGCTGTGGCCAAGAACAAAGCGTTGCTTTCAGAATTTAAGCACAGCTATCAGGTAATCTTTCCGCGCTAAATGAACCCTTGTCAGGATTAAAAACTTTACTTTTATCCGAAAACAGTGATATGCTTTATTACCCTATTTTACGCGATTTTTGAAAAGTCCGAAGAAAACTCTCATGAAACAGACCGAAAGATCATTAATAGAGTTGAGATTTAAAGGGTTCGAGGATGCATCAAAATGCCTCAAAAAGTCTTTTGTTTCGTAGTCTTAATTCCCTGCATTTTGGTATTTTCAGGTTCAACGAAACCTTGAAGACTTTGTCGTTAGACCTCAACGACCGCCACCAAAAACATTTGCAGTACCCTCAGAGCGAGTTGCCGTTAGGTAGTGAAATTGAGATGCGAGGTAATTGATCAACAATGAATCAAATGTGTAATATAACGTAAAGAAATAAACAAGCTCAATTCGTTCATGTAACAAACTCAAATCTTCAAAAACAGCTATCTATTGGGCTATTAAAATTTATAACGCAAGCAAAAAACCAACTGCAATACTACCATGTTTCTATCTGGTGACTTCCCTCTCCATGTACCTATCTTTTCAATGCAAATATGTGATCCGTGTGACGAATTCGCTAATTGTAAGTGTTAGGAAGGTAGTCGCTTTTGACGTTGACTATTCGTGTGTGCCCTTAAACATCGAACCTTGGAGCCATACTCAGTACAATCGCTTATTCCACAGGTATACATATTTTTCAATGTATTGAGCACTAATCGTTTCGCTCTATGTATGTTATATAACTTATAGTACTCGAGAATGCTATCGAAAAATTGATACAACGCTTTGGTTTCAGTTTCTCTACCACTTACAGAAAGCTATGTACCAGGGGATAAAGTCACGGAAAAAAAGCTAAATAATCTGCTATTACGGTTTTTATTATCAATAACATAATAGGCAGGACATTATCTTGCTCTTAAATGCAGAACTTAGTGTTTATGTCTGTAAGTTAAAGCAGCACATCGCATCGTATGCTGCTATGTAATGCATCTGATCTAAGTTTTTGCGGCCAGTTCACCAGATTAGTATTCACTGACGGTGCTTCCCACTTGTCTTTTGTGCTAAAATTTTTTAATAATAACGTGTATCCGAAACAATAGCGAATAGTAGTTCAAACATCAAATCTCACTTCCACAGGATATCAGAGTGAATGTATAACATTTACATCTATACACCCTATCTATTATAGCATGGATTGTATTAGCGTATGTCCCATAAACAACAAATATGGCTCTATATCGTAGTTAGACCTTAGGTATGCATGAGAAAGTATAGCTATTAAACGTGGAAATATATTTATCGTCCTGCTTACGCGTAACCAAATGTTGTTTAGTTATAATTGCGTTGAGAGTTCCGTCAATCTTGGTAAACCCAGCCGCTAATATGAAATTTAGACAAACATATAAAATTGCATAGTATGTTCGCTGTTTGAAGTTTGATTCTTTGCGGCTTTAGTTATACTATATTCTGATGAAGTTCCGACTGATTTTGAGCATGGCTGTGTGTACGATTGAAAACAGCAGCTAAACCCAAATCAAAATGTCCTATAATCAAACAAACATGAGGATATTCAATAGGTTCATTTCTACAATTAATAAGTTTGAATTTCTGTAAAATATTAGTTTCGGCCCTAGCAAACTAATAACTGATTAAATCAAGACGTAGTTGCTCAAGATTTGCTCAAATACCTTTTACGGGATAGGCGTACTACGCAAGTTTTATTTAAGGCACTATATGAAGTTAAAAACATATGAAACGCATCTTCTACCGTTTAGCAACGATGAATTGATATTTTTCAAATGCTACCAACATGTGAAACCGCCTATTGGCAACTGTTCATAATTTTACAGCGTTCACCATAACATAAGTTGTAACCTACTTACTAAAATTAACTTAAGATGACGATACCATCTTATAAGTCTTCAATTGGCGTTTGGAGTGGCATGTTATGAGTAATTAATGCACATTTTTTGGGAGCATTGCCATGGCAACCATGGACTTATAATCATCGCTGGTCTAGATTTTAGCGTTGGCAAATGGTTACTATGATATATGATTACCACGCCATTTCATAGGTCTGTTGCAGAAACATCAGATAAATCCAGCTGTACCCACCTCGGTTAAATTTTCCTTGATGATATATTTTAGAGATTATTTTGAGGACCTGTTCACATTATTGGTACAACCGCAAGTATGAAACGACAAAAAAAACGCTCTATGGCAACTTGCAGCTTTTTTCGCGATTACTTTCATTACCGACAACCGCCCTGATGGAACGTGAAATAGACCTTTCGTTAGATTCTAGATAATCCTATTTGAACAAACTACGAACAGTGGAATTTCATACAAAAATAACTTCAGGTATTTACGCAAATTATATGTAGCCAATATGTAATACAGCTCAAAAAGAGACAACAGATTGTTCACTATACTTTATTGGATCGAAATGGTGACCTCTGATTACGGAACATAGCGTAAAGAACGCTTAATTATAATGAACTTTTCAGGTCGTGTATTTTCGATTTTTCACGTGCAAAAAATGTCTTTTGGAAGAGCTACGAGGTTCATGGTGCGGAAAATATTTCTCTTGGAGATGGCGATGCCCTGATGGTCTGCTAACGAGTCTTGTCATGGAATAACTTCTGCTGTCTATCTGAAACCATGCTGAAAACGTAAGTTATTGAAAATCGCGCCCTGGTTAGAGTACCCATCGTCGCCGACATGCAAGAAAGCGAGTTTCACTCCAATCGAAAAATTTAACCTATCCATAGGTGTCGTTTTACTAGAAAAAGGAAAAGCCTATTATTGCACGGCTTTTTTTTTGTTGTTTTAGAAACTGCTATTGGTAGAGTTTTCCATGAGCAACAGAGACACATTATTATGATGTCGCTCTTTTATTAACTAGATAAGCTGTCTAGCGAAACTTAAAGGAAGAGACGTGTAATATATCTCCCCTAGTATACATCTATATATCTATGAAATTTCAAACCTTCACATAATTACAAAGTAGATGTAATTTCTAGACTGAATTATCTGAGTCACTTGGTTTTGGTAGCCGAATCTATGTGAAGTAGAACTGGCAACTGCACAACAGCAATTTGTCTACTTTATATTTTATATAGCTGTTTATTTTCAGTTATGTTTTTTCACACTTACAGTGGTGATAAATATTATATGTATTGTTCTCATGTTCCTTCGCTTGTTGCCACTAGTTAACTTCCGCTCCAGAATTTGTTTTTATATAATTTTGTTCATTAATGCTAAAAGTCACTTTATAAAATATACGCCAAATGTACATTTACCGCTTTCTTGCCGAGCTGGTGTTGTTATTGTATGTTATCATTGCCTTCACTTAAAGCCTATATCTTGTCTAGTGATGAATTTCTTTTATAATTAAAATAACCAGTGGCAAAATACATAAACACTAGAAGAGCCAACGGAAGAATCATTTTCTTGTTTCTTAAACTTATCACTCAAAATTATAATAATAATAGAATGCATACCTTTTTTTACATATGTTTAATGCGATTGAGTAAAGTTGCAATGTTTAACGTCTGTTTCGATTCTGATTATATAAAGCAATTAAATATATTCATAATCATTCTTTTTGTTTCGGCACTTGTCAGGACGATTAACAAGCCTCAATATTCAATAAAGAGGAAAGAGCTTACATTATTTCAGTGAACCTTGAAGCGGTATCTATTTTTTAGGATATCCTAATTATAGATTAATATGCGCATCACGATGTATAGCGATGTTAGGTATGGGCAGAATGTGCAAGTAGTATTAAAGAAAAGGTCTCTTCCAAAAATGATTACCGAAAAGTCACCTATTTGGCTTCGCATATCTTTAGGAAACAGTGTACGTTTGTGACTGCTAGTGAGCATTTTGGTCTAATTAATTGGATTAAAACTAAGGTCGTCAGTAAATGACACACCGGAATTAGAAAGCGTTCTTTCCTCCTCCCTTTGTAAGTAGTTGGGTTGTCCGTATGGATTTAAAGGCCCCAAGATGAGCGTGTACTCAGAGTCAATGCATAACTCGTAGCCCAAAAAATTTAGGGATTCACTGGGACACAATCCGTATAATTGCTGCTGGTTAACTAATTGTTTGGAATGAATAGACTAAGAATCTCAACCATGTGATAGCGCTATTTTCTTGCAAATTCTAACTACGGAAAGTGGACCAGTTTCCTAGTCCTTCGCAGTTGGGTTAATATTGAAATGGCCAGCACGTATCTCGTATCATCATCTTTAACTGTGTATAACTTAACAACTTCACACTAGAAAGCACAGCGAATAGAAAGTTCCTGCGGTTGAATCACGACTGGATCATAAAAAATCTTCATTTGATTTGTATGTACTTGTTTCGATCTTATACTTCAATGGAAGACGTTACTGTATCCTTTATGATTATTGGTTAGGGTGTAGCGGAGTGACCCGAGTCCAACCACGGTCCCAAGTGCAGCCTTGACCCCCAGCAACGTCCAGGCATCGAACGTTCCTACCATGTCAAATAGGGCAGCACGGTAACAAAGGGCTAACAAGATGATGGTAAGAACGCGTGACCGGTTACCAGATCCAGAAGCCTTCCACTGTGAGAGAAGCATAGCGGTAGATAAATGTAGGGCGAGAGAAATGTTTGATTCCAACGCGAGTTGAACATACCTAAGATTCAAAAATAACATCAGAGTAATGTCAGAATTCATTGCATAAACAAATCACCAGATAGTAACGTAATAAAGATAAGTATAATTAGAGTTGAGCTCTAACGAAAAAAAGTTGCGACCGCGGCAGCTTCGACAACTCGCCCCTCACTGTATTGTAAAACCAACGAATCGCAGCTTTAGTCCACGCGAATATGTTGAGAAATTAACGGTAATTGCAAGTAATTAAATAAATAGTAATACAATCCACTTGTTCTGACAATGGTAAGAAACGCATCAAATGTTGAGCAGTCTCTTTTTTTATAAGAATTCGTTGCCAGTTATTTTCGTTTCTATAATAATAAATGGCTTTTTCTTTGTATGTACTCGACTGACTACCGCAAGCGCAAGACACAAAAGAAACTTGGTTCAGCGACAACGAGAAAAAAAAACGACTTAAGGTTATGTTCACGAAATTGTATATCATATATTACACGTATTACAGGTACCACTTTAGACCCCAAGGCCACTATATGACCTAATATTACATCCATGCATAACGTAGTGGCATGAAGACAACGTAGCATTATTACCTGCTTATGGATCTAAATGAGTAGGTGGGCTAATTAATCCCATGACCAAAGCTAGCGACCTTCATACAAAACAAATACGAATACCACTGTAAGACGCATTATTATCTTGAAATTTTCGCTCATCAAACAGATTTTGAAAAACTTAAATTCTAGTGCACGATATACGTATGATAACGCGTTTCAATTTCAATTCAAGAACAATTTAATCACATTTTTTTTATAATGTTTTTTATTAAAAAATATTTTGACAGAATTTCGCCATACATAACATGATGTACAACTATGGCTAAACAAAATACACATGTATGACAAGAGAAGTATGTAATGTGTGGAATTTTAGGCAAAATTAGCGACTTGCTCTGTGAATTGAATTTTGAAGGGAACCGAGAGAATTAAAAGACTGCACCAAAGTGATAAAAAATTAATGTACGTGTTTGGTGTTAACTTTTTGCAGGCGTTGTTGTTTAAAACGGCAGACTTACTTCCATGAAAATTCCACTCCTCGAGCACCAATCCAGAACGGGACTAGCCGAGTGCAGATAAGCTCTGCCGTCGCCCATCCAAAACCAGTCACCAAGAAACGAAGATCACCAGAAACACCTGAAATATCAACAAAGGCCCCAAAATTAACGACCATCGACAACGAAGATACGAATACGAATCGCAAATTCAAATTTCTTAGAAAATAAGAACTGATCCGCTTCTCAAGTCTATTCGTGAGTTAACAAACACGGCCTCGAATTATACTTATTAACACAGGTAAACGTATAAGCGTAAATACTCGTCTTTAGGAATAGCGCACGTTTCTGCCAAACATGCTGCACTGTTTACTTTAGATCGTGTGAAGCAGCCGATAGTATAACCAAGTCTAACTTCCGTATTCAATGAAAAGAATATCTACAGATAATAAATACATCTGAGTATAACAAGTATTTGAAAGATTACCTAAATTAATGTTGCAGTACATGTGTCTTTTTTAGTATGCTTAATCCAATATTTTTTATAACTGCATGTTATAAAGTGATTCTTTATGTTCCGATATGGACAAGAAAATAAACGAGCTCAGAGTCCCTTTTTCAGGTTCTTCTTTCAACGGATGTGATGGTGGACGCATCATTGCTCATCATCGATCACTCAAACTATTTTGATATCTGAAAAACAATCACCCATCATTGTTCGTACTAGCGTTGTCACCTTACGGAAAAATATTGAAAGAATAGTGCAAGAAAACACGAACAACTCCCGTATAGTAAATGATAGAACACAACTAGACTATTAAAACATTCTCAATGTGTCAATATTTGGTTGATCTCTATGTGACCGGTGGAATCACTGACAGAAAGTTACAATGAAAAGACTGGCTACTTTTAAGGGCAGGACTCACACCGCGTTTCCATTGGTCTTGATCAGAAATTTTCTAAGGTAAAGCTGTATTTTCATACTTAAATAACGTTTTTAGCGACGACAAACTGCGGATGTAATGTCTCGCTAACAAAGCTAAAAAAGATCGCAAAAATAATTATGTAGCCCAGATACATAAAATGCACAATAATATAAGGACAGAGTAAGGTAAAACTTACCGATACGATTCATAGCCGCATGCATGACAATCAGATCAAGAATGTCGAGTGAATGTTTTAACGCTTCTCCGTAAAGCGGCACCGAGTCCACAACAAATGTGGCGAGAAAGAGCATTTTGCCTAGTTGGCAGACTGTATAATATCCAGCAGACTGGGCGCACTTCCAGAATGCGCCATGATCAGATAAACCTAAAAACCAGTAAATAAGCAAAATTGTGAATAATTTGGCTTCAATTTAACGCCTAACTAAATTCCTAGATAATGAGCAGACGTGTGAGAACTCCATGATTAAAGAATATGACCTCGAATCCTTGAATTAAACGTTACAAATAAGTCAAGATTTTTTCGTATTTCCCCTTGTATTTTCGACCTCGCCTTTTTTTGTTTCGTCCACCGAGACTAGTCATTTATGCAAAAAAAAATGCAGGATAGCTAAAAAAAGACCACATAGTAGCTTTGAAGATGATCCTTTCTTTTTACACAGGGAACGACTTTATTGCAATAACTTGTGAAAATTCTTAACGTGTGCAAACAGAAATAAGCAGGTGTTTCGGATGATATTCATATTCTCTTTCTAACGGAAATTTGCGTTCTGCAGATAACACTGGAACAGAATGTATGAACGGAATTAAGAATCTAAAAAATGCCAATTAGTTGTTCTATAAAAAGCAGAAGCGGGTTTTTCAAATACTGAATTCACTTATAATCTCAGGTTTTTTTTTTTAATGCTATCTTCTCAGTGGATCGAAGAAATGAAAAATTCTCTAAAGAAGCATGACAACATAGCACGAATATGAGGTGAAATAAGAACAGAATCTTAATGCAGATGTTTTTTGGGTACCAATATGTTATTTAAGATAGGCTAGTCTCAAACCCGTAAATAAAAAGGCGAATAACGCTCTGAAGAATATCAACGACTCTTGATCCTGACAACCTTATAGATTTGGTTTCTTTTGTAAGGTCTGTCGACTTCTTAGTACCGTTAACAATTGTCCGTCTTACTATAAATAAAATCAAGTTGGAAAAAAAATAAGCGTGGGTTTTGTATGACCATAAGTAGATGCAATCGAACATCGAGGCCGAAGAAGTTGTATTCTCTGTTAATGCGTTGCCGTGGTTCACTTAAAGGTTATGCGATTCTCGCTGTAACCTGTATATCAATAATCATGCTCAATATCAAATGCTCTTAAAAATAATTTATAATGTGTAGTGTTTGTCAAACTATTTTGTTAATAACTAAACTGTTCGTCACTTGAGCGTTGTATATTTAGAAATGTTTTTAGCCCGAAAACGTAACTGGTACCATATCGGAACGTATATATCGAGTATTTTACAGTTGATAACGATAGATGATATTCATGCGCTCACTTATAGTTTTTTTTTTGTTTTATACGAATATTTTCTAGTGGCACATTATATTGAGTATATATATCCTATATCCCATTATCTTATTACATTTTGCTAAATTGTAAATCGGTAAACGATTACAGTTCGCTTCAAATGTATTTGCACATCTATGCTAACATGATAATAGTTGTTTCCATTTAGACGACTTGCATTATAGTTTAGTTTAAGTTTAACAGTGCAGTGTAAGTTAAGCCGGTGCAGTTTAAATGGGCTCTTCAAAACAAGTTAAATTCATTCACATTGACATCGAATCGAGGGAGTGCTTTCATTTGGGGTTGCCGAGACAAAAACCTATTTTTCACTCTACAGCTAGCTAGAAATGTTGAAAGTGCAGAGCATCTCTACTATTCATAACGCTGTATCGGCTGGAGGTGTTTAGCAACTGGAGGGGGTGCACAGTATACACTCAGAAACACAAGGGCGTTCAAGGTATTTTCAGAAAAATTTATATTTTGCTCATGCACAAAAGGGGACTCGATTTTATTGCCCTAACCTGATAGTCGATAGGTTAACATAAACGGAACGTAGGCTAACGCCACGCAGTTCACGAGATGCATTAACGTCATTTTGGCTTCGGTTGATTCTGATAAGTCGCCAACAGTTTATGCGAGCCTCTCTATTGGTCGAAGGGTGCACTGGTCCCGACTTCAGTAAGCCGGTAACTATAAACTACTACTGGGGAATTCGCTGACCGTCAAACAGAACTCTCTATTTCAGCTCGCTACTTTCGTTCACCTCAACGCAGTAGATTTTTTAAGTAGTGTCTTTACTTGAGCCTATAATTGCATAGATTTTTATTCGCATTTCCCGCACTTCGCATTGTGGCGTGATTCCAGCGGCATAAGGAAGTCATGATACAATGCTAACGTCAACTGCGAACAAGCCAGCACTTTACATTGGCAACAATTAGCACGGACAAGATCCACAATGGCCAGACAGCATATTACAACGTAACAAATGAATGTTAGCTAGAAGCTGGCGCTCAAGCACACAGCCCAACGAAAGTCGCATGGAATCATTTGTTACGAACGTACACGGCGAATTAGAGCCTGTTTGAGAAAAACACTAGGCCACGAATCAGCTGATTCGGAGGTCTCTCAGTCAGGCAGTATGGAACTGTGGCGCTGGTGTCGCAAAAACGGTTTAAATTTTACGCGCGAAAACGCGACCAGCGACGGCTTACCTTGGTAACAGTGCATCGACAGTGTGAAGTTCGATTCGCGCTGCCGCATCTAATCGTGTATGAAATCTTCAGAATTCCGGACCTGACTTGTGCCGAGATGACAGTCTAATATCTCGTTTGAAAAGTATTTTTATATGGTTCGTTTGCGAAAAAAAGCGCCGTGCCGCTCCGCTGCTTTCGTGGGCGGGAAAGCCAAGATTGGCGCCAGCGACAGACCGCTCTCCGTGGCTGGTAGTTGTACAGACATCCAGTAGCAATCGTGCTAGTCCAGCATGAAAAGGTTCGACAAGTGAATCGGCGGTGGTGGCATCGTCTCACTTTCGTCTGGGACTTGAACCTGGCAGGTATGACTAGCACAAGTTCTGCCTAGCTCTATGCCGCCTTCGGAAGTCAATGTGAGTTAGTACAAAATAGTATTCCAGTATCGTACAGCTGGAAGGAGAAACTAAAGGGGCCGATCACTATTTTTTGTCGCACTAACAGCAGCAAATAAACAGTCCGGACTGGTCAACTGTAACGACTTATTAGACAAAGCAGTGTTTATGTTGTGACTTTTCTCTATCTTCAATACACAGATATTGGCTGCGAGCTGGCTCTATTGAGATTGATTACCGGCCTCAAATCTGGTCAACAACACGGTTTCAGGAGGAAATCCCGAATATCAAAAAAGTCTTCGAAAATGGTAAGTGACTACTAACACATATTTCTGGTAGTATTTCTGGGAAGAATTGTCAATAACCGCGGAAGGATGCTAGTATCTATTTGTAGGTGTAACACATTATTGCCGCGCCCATAAGCTACAAGTATTGTGAAGTTAACCCTCTAGCTCCGACCACTGTGTGTGTCTCTTATAATATTATTCTTAGTTTATAGTTATTTAGTTTCTAATGATAAACGTATACTTTTATGAATTTAATAGGTTGATAAAACGTCTTGATTTTGGTTTTAGATGCTAGCGGTGAGTCGGAAGAAAGATCTAGGATGGTCGGACCTTTACTGCGAACAGCACGTGAGTGTTTTGTTAAAACAAACATTCTATAGATATAATTGTATGTTCTCTACGTGAGTGACATGGGCCGAACAATTGGGCCGAATTCGTTGTTTAGCGCGGAAGGGCCTTCCGTGTGCGATGTCAGCTTTTCCCCGTCCCATTCTATTGAGAATAATTATTTCCTGCCTCTAATAGCCCATTCGTATTGGTCTAGCTAACAATGCAATCTACTCCAATAATTCTTGTAGATAAGTGAATTCACTGCAGCGTGAACAACGTGTAACTTGTTTAGAGGACGACGCTATCAAGGCGCCATAATTTGCCGCCAACTCCGTCCGAATACCCAAGGGTCAAACGGCCTATCCACTCTAGTTGATTAGTTCTATTCGTAGTTTTCTTGGCTTAAACATGTCTAACACAGGTGCATGCAGAACAGACAGCTTTTCCTATACGAAACAAACTTTTTCCTAGCTCGCGCTGTATAGCAGTAATGAGTCGCCCCACACATAATAAGAGCGAAGACGGGGTTTGAGCGGCCTCGCAACTGGAGGATTTTCGCTTTTTAGGGGGAGAGCGGATGGGGACATATGGCATCCCGTTAACCCCCTATAGCTGCTATTGCCGCGTTCGCGGCTGCTGCTGCCGCCACCGCTTCGGCTTGCAAACGACCGAAATGGATTGAACGCGAACGGTCAGAAGTGAGTGGTTGAGGAACGGCGGGAACTTTCCGTAGGCGGGCGTTTTGTGCTACTGCTGGCGAAAGAGCTGGGGAGCGGACGCCAAAAGAGTTGGTATCGATATAGCTGATTACGTGTGTAGAAATTTTGAAACAGATTCTTATTTATCTTATTGAATTAATGAGAAAAAAAATAAAATCATTGCTTTTGTGATGCCATAAGGAATTAAGTTCTTGGTCCAATTGACGAACGGTGGCTGCCTGTGTTATATATAGTAGTTGTTCCTGTCGTCGTAGGTGTTATGTTAACTGAACAAATTGGTCAAAGCTTGCGTTGTAGTGTAATTGGAATGAAACATGCCCATGTGTTCGATATCTTCATCTTTCTTTGACAAAATTCTATTTTTTGAACTTATTGAGTAAGTTAAAAGCGTAGTGAATTTGTGATCTTGTTTAAGGTAGCCGGTTTATTTCAGGCTCGCGTATGGATATATGGATAAAATAGTTAATCTCATATAGAAATTTCGATTCCATACTTTGAAAAATGAGATGCGGAAAATTTTGATGCATTTGCATTGTAGAGGTTTATTGGTATCTAAGGTGTTGTGACACGCTTATAGCACACGCTTACCAACTCACGCACAACTACCTTGTGTCGAATCTCATGTGTTCTTGATATTTTGAAACAACATCTCAACCAATATGATCTTTACTCATCTATGCACCCGAAAATTAACATATAAGAACTATTTCTCAGATACTACTGGTATCACGTATGTTAATAGCGATGTGGATTTTGTTCATTTACATATGTTCAAACGTACAATAGTATGTCATATATAATGACAATATTATCTCCGAAAAATATAGCAGCAATCTCCCATTTCTGATGTAGAATCTTGTGTTCCTGCAACAAATCAATTACGGCCTCTTCAAAGCTTTCTATAGAGGCACTATGGAGTAAGTGGGTTTAAAGGTTTCGAAGAAAGTGTGTAGGAATCTAAAAGAAAAAATAAGAAGCTCTCACTACCAGTCAACCGCAGTTGGCCTCACGAATTGTTTATTCTAATTTGCTCTTGAAGGAATTAACGTCACCTGTGTCAGACGTTCCCTCCCCACCGCCGCGAAAACGACCTCGCTGTATTATCTATGGGACTAAGACACGTTTAGAGGGTCCTTCTCCGCCGCCGGCCCGAGAAAACCTGTTTAATAGAGTGCCCGATGAAATACTAAAACATATCTTCAATAACCTGTCAAAAAGAGACCTGCTTTCCTGCATGAGCTTATGTAGGCGCTTCTATAGAGTTGGGTAAGTTGGTCGTTTGTTTCTGTTCACCTTGAGCACTTCCGCTCCAAAAACGAATTATTTAAAGTAAATCAGTCAATCGGATTACATAAACTGAGTTCATTGATTAAAAAAAAAAGGCTAAATCGATCCATCGATTTTGTTCAAATAAGATGTGAAACCTCTGAGAAAAACTCGTGCGGTACTGTCGTTAAATCTCGTCTTAAACAGCTAATTGCCAACGCGAAACAGTCTGTTTATTACAGGTTTTGAACCTAGACTACCACGTGTTCCAAATTTTAGTTGAGAAACAGGTTATTACTACACAATAACGGCGTAGAGTCTTAACAAATCTATATATATATATGCGATTTATGGATCTCAATATCATGTTATAGCTAAAACTGAGTCCCTCTACTCTACCGCACGAATTCTGAGTTTGTTTTAATTAGGGGAAAAGTAAATCACCTGACATGTCGTGCATCATTATCGTACTTCTCATATCTATTTAAATCACTTTTTCTGTCTGTTGGATTTTCCAGTTCAGATCGGGACTTATGGCACAGCGCAGACTATTTTGGTCTCAAATTTATTGATCACTCACTAATTTATGAAGTTCTTCGAGGTGCAAAAATGTTACGAGCCGCAAACGCTTCCTCCAGGGTCCCCCTCCTAGAACCAATTGTTCTTAAACCATTAAGACTTCAATATGTCGATCTCACAAATACGGCCATTTCAAAACCGTTGCTTATTAGTCTTCTAAATGCCAGTCAGGACCTTCGAAAGCTTTCCCTCGAAAGTCTGACGTTTTGCGACGACGACATTTGTAGCTCCATTGCCCGAAACCATCGACTAGATACCCTCAACCTATGCATGGTAACGGGCCTTACGGTGGAGGGAGTTACGCGGATCATGCAAGTAAGTACGGTACACGCAATGGACAGAATTAGCAATATTTCTGTCACACTGCATAATTCCATTTTCTGTAACTAGCTTAAAATAGATGTAAAACACAATATATATATATATATATATATATATATATATAATGCAAGCAAGTTGATTATTAATCAATTTGTGTTGAAACATAATATTCAAAGTAAATTTTATTATTATTACTACTAGTATATGGGTTATTTTTTAATCGTGCGTATTTGTTACATATCAATATAACATTTAAGAACTTTAACTTTTCTATCATAACTAATCAACACTGTTTAATTGTTGTGACAGCACTGCCAACAAATTGTAAGTCTGAATGTAGCATGGACGCCTATGGATTCCGAGTGTTTGATGTCGCTAGTCCGTCTGCTTCCCAGAGGCTTAAAGGAGCTCAACATAGCTGGATGTGCTAACCGTTTTACCGATGCCCATCTAACAGAGCTTTGCAAACGATGCCCAAAAGTACGTCAATCCTTTCTGATTATACTATATAGCTAAATATACTAAACAACTACTATCAATGCTAGTATTCTTAAAGCTTATAGTGAAAATTGCGACAAGAATTCGTTATGTGCACCCAATATGTGTATGTAATTAAAGCGCTTTTTCCGACGACAATTTTTTTTATAGGAGAGTTTAAATATATCATTAATCTGCAAGAGCACTCTTGTTTAAAAACTAGAAGGACATAATACCTTTCTTAACACTTAATATAGGTGAGGATATTTTACAATACTTTCGCAACTGCCCCTTTTCTTGTTTTTATCAGTGTTGCCCACAATTTCTTCGTAAATAACATGGTCTTGAAAATACATTATAGTTAGAGAAGCTATGCGTCGCCGACAACAGCAACCTGTCACCAAGTAGCTTAACTGAGATCTTGTCAGTACTTTCGGAGCTGCGACATTTGGATTTATCACGGTGTCATCGACTTCAACCTGAGGACATGTGGGCCCTTGAGAATCTGCCCAAACTTGAGTAGGTGGACTAATACAACATGCAAAACAATTTAAATATACTGAGGGAGGTCAATAACACTGTCGGTTAGCTAAGCGACAGTACAAAGAAAATATCAACAAATAAAGTTAAGCTTTAAGAACAATTTTTGGTTTTCCATAAAAGATCAGTTTGTTCTCAGTTTGCATAGCACCTTTAGAAACGTGATTCGGCTGTCTAATGAACAGCGAAGAACAAGAATGTAGAAAGTTGTCATGGCTGAAACGATAATTCAGATTTGATGGTGTGGACACTATAATTAATTTTATCGTTGCCGTTATTTTAGGTTTCTCTCGTGTCACAGTTTCCCTGATTGGAGAGATTATGAAAGAGACATCAGGAAAGGATTGTATCGAGTGCTCGTAAATGCTGGCCCAGATCTCTCCAGTATTGCACGGCCTCAGCCAAATCAGCACAGGCAGGATCGGATTCTGTGGGGCGTACCAATGAGATAAAACAACCAGTCACAGGCAGGTTGAAAATTTACAAGCGTAGAAAAAGATGATGGTTTCGACAATATAAAGCATCTGTCAGACGAGATCGAAGGCTTTTGCCTTTGATATGACTCTGCAAACACTCAGTTCTTGAACGAAACATGTCTGACGTATACTAGTCGGCTCTTGCCTTTGCACTCTAGAACGCACTAGCTAACGTGACATACATTAGCGATATGATAAAAAAAAAAAAGAAAAAAGTAGAAAAATTACACGATCTATTATACAACAATATCAAGTTCCGACGCACCCGTTAAACCAATTCTGCTTTAAGCATGTTTTACATACCTAAAATAAATTAAGCAGTAGTCGCGGCGTTTACGAAACAATTAAAGAGTGGGACAGAATATCTGAATTTTTAAAGAGCGAAAAGGCCTATAATGCTGTATAACCGATCGCTGTATAGTGTCGCGGCAGAGGCCTAGAGCGGATACAAATCTAAGCTACCATACGGCTGGTGTTATTGGTGCGACACCGACAATATCGAGGCAGGTCTTAACCATTTAGCGAAGTGACCGTTTGTCCCGAGGGTGAGTACGGTACTAACACCAATGCCCCTTCTGTTGATAGAAGCTAGTGTGAAAAAAGTCGCGTAACGCATAGCGTTTTGGTAGTATTTGACCTTGTATAAAATTGCGAGATCAACGCGTTATGGTCGTTGTGCTCCTCGCTCTGAAAAAAAGGTAGACACTAATTTAGACTTACCTCGTATTTCATTTTAAAACAAGAAAACCTGTTGTTGAATCATGTTTGACTTTAAAATGGCAACCAGATTGCAGTTAAAACATATTTGACAAAAAAGACTGGGTTAATCGTAAACATATTACTTAAGGAAAAAACATGAGATGTAAATTGGAGTGTGGGGTATCTTTTAATCAAATTCGACCATTTAGTGGAACTGAAACTACACATTTGTGAAATTTCGCCGCATTATTAATTTATCCCGCTCATATGAATCAGCGGGACCCCAATTTTAGAATAGGAAGTAAAATATTCTGTTTATGCGTAGATAATCAGGTGAAATCCTTAGCTTCTAGCGGCATGACTAAGAAATGGCTACAGTAGTGATATGTACATAAAACTGCGGCAGAGCGTTAACAACAAATTTTGCAATGAACTTGCCGCATATTCAACCCCGATTCTACTGAGGAATCGGTTGTTAATTGTCAGAAAAAAAAAACGAAGAAAAATGCTTCCAAAACAAAAATCTCGACGCTCAAAAAAGAGATTTGCCAATCTAGATACTTTCCGCTAGACGCTTCTGCTTTGGATGATCTTCACATCTTACCATTTAGTCTTAAATAAAATACCATCGATGCTGTCGATAGCCCCATTTGATACGTTGTAAGAAGGTAGTTATCCTAAACGTGCACTAAATATAAAAAGGGCTTCCCTTAGGAACATACCTTCTCGCAGCTCCTTGTTCGTACCATTCAGTATTTACGCCAGCCTATTTCGCCTTGGCATATGGTGCGATTATTACTCTTGTTATATTACATGAACACATTGCGCCTAGTATTATCAGCGAAACGTCTTCGTGATGAACAAGTGGGTAGTCTAATAGTTACTTAATAATACGATGAATTCACCAGGTAGCACAATTCCAAATACACAATAGCGCCCTTCCATTTTATTAATGCTTAAAGATTAAATGCGACATCGTAGATAGACAAGGGTATATCCTAAATGTATTGCATAGGTACAATCGAATCAATTCAAGGCTGTCGGTAAGCGTTTCGAAAGAAGCGTGCTACTGGTCTATAAAGTACGACTAAGCAATGCGTGAACGCAGTTAACTTTAAACAAACCCAAAGTCAGCATTATAACCAGATTTCAGCAACAGCATTTGTGCAGCTAGCCAAATAAGTGAAAATGTATAATAGTAGAAAGCCAATCGCCAATGAAAAAGCACTACATGTTACCATTTTATTTAGAAGCGAGAACTAAGTTGAGTTGTGTTTAGCAGCGTGATTTCGGTTTGAAAGAGACTGACTTGTAAATTTTACTTAGAAATATAGCACTAGGTATGAGTGGATGTGGAACGGCAAATATACTTCGATCTGTTTTTTTTTTCAGAGAAGCTTTTCCGATGCTAGATGTACACATGTAAATATATAAATATATCCGTAGGACATTTGTACGACTTGTGACCCTAGGTCGCTGGAACACCAAGGCAGCGTTTACAAGCATGGCCATAGTTGGATGATGTAGTTGTTCGACGTTTAATAAAGCCCCACAATCTGTATGTTGGACAAACAACTAACTTTGCTTAGTACTTGTTTTGTCAGGTAAGTTGTGGCAGCACGTCAATAGAAAAATATCTGAAGATAAAAGTTAGCTTTGGGCAAAGTATAGCGAGGCAGTGGACGGACAAAACATATTATGAAGGCGCGTTTGTTTTAGTGGGTGTTCAAGTGATTCTTTGTCTAGGGTTAGTTCTGTAGGCTAGTGGCATAGTTCTGCGTTATATGTTACCCGTTCTTGATCATAATTTTATATTCTGTGCAGCTCTATGTACTTGAATATTCCCCTACATGTAAAAAAGGGAGACGTATTTGTTAGGAAAGGTCGTCTGCTAACTGAAAACCCGGATCTTTATTTATTTGACTTACATCAGGGCCAAAATGCCAGGTAAGTGACATGGGCTTTTATATCTTATATTTGTCTGTATTAGAGGATGGTGTCATCCTCACCCATTGTTTCCTCTTACAACACCTTGTGTAATAAAAATAGAATAGATTTTATGTTGCCATGGGGAGGCCCAAGTGGCTGGGGAAGTGCAGGAAATACGTCGCATTCCTGCAAATGAGCTTTTGTGCGTTATCTTTGATGTTTATATCAAAACGTTTTCCGGTATTGTAGCGATGTTTCCTGGCTTATCCGCCCAGTTTGTGGTCTTTCCCCCTGGGCTGACTTTACGTGCGACTCAGCCAGTTTCCTCGAATTTCTTAATCAATCGCTTCAGTGTACGCTTCGCCAACGAGAAACGTCAGTCACGACACTTACAAAGTGTCATTGGAATCGACAACCTATTTCTATGGAAGATCGTTACAAAAACTGGAGGAAATCCCATGCAGAGTTTTAATCTATTTTTTAAACATATTTATTTTAATTATTTACGTGCGTCTATGTTCTTTATCATGGGTTATTACCGAAAATTCAACCTGAGATGGGCAAATAATACGAAATTGTAGTAATAACTAGGACGTGTCAAAATAAGGCGTCAACATAAAAAGTAAAAAAGGTCTGAACCCACCAAATCATTGCTTCACAGTCAAAGTTTAGGCACCTAGAAAACCTAATAGTCTATATGTCATTCTATGGTTATTATTAAACGTTTACAAACAGACGGTTTCCCTGCCTAGTTTTCCTTAAGGATATTTTTTCACTACCTATGACTAACGCAGCATCTTCGATGATCAGTAGTAATAGCAGTGACAGTATTAGGCGGTATATTGGTTCAACGGAGTGACTAAAGGCCCATGTACAGGCTTGAGAATAACCATACGAACTGCTTGTAGACGGTGTTCGTCCTAAGTGTCGTCTAACGCCGAAACAGGTGATGCAATCGCGTGCGTGTTATAGCGCTCTTGTATCAGAATTATAGGAGCTCCGTAACGTTAGTCTTTCGAAATTTTTCGAAATGATCACGTTCAGAATCAGTTATGTTTAGACAAAATTATCTGTAGGAGTCGAAAAAGATCGGTTGTAAAGCGATAACCAGTGATAAGTTTTATCAACGCAGAAACATGGCGCCCACTCGAAAATGTCTACTAATGTGTAATTATTTATTTTGGCAAATTCTATGATAGCAATTCATATCATCCATTCGTTTTGTGTACATAAAACGCTGTATTGTATTATTGTGCTTGCCTAAAATGGCGAAGGTGAATTACCTTGCGTGACATGTTTCACTGATGGTACTGTACGGTACTTGAAAGGAACTGACAATAATGAATTATTAAGACGACAATCCTTCGCATCGTTGCAGTTAAATCTCTTAAAGTAAACTTAATGCAGGTTACAGCTCCTGGAGTGGAACCACAGCTTTCTTATTGTTGCCTCTTTGAATGGTTCGTCGGTATTTTAGGCTTCGATTGACTTCTGAGCAACTTCTTTTCTCGTTCTACTGAAGGGTAAAATAGTAACCGATTAGGTATTTAGTCCATCGTTATCAGCTCCTTTATTTTGGGTAACAAATTTTTTTGTGCCGTCATGTCGAACATGGTGGTGAAGTTATATCTTGGCGACTAATTGAACAAGTGGAAGATCCGCATGCAGTCTCAGCACCAGGTTTTTAGCGTTGTCCAGGTATTAGCATATCCATGTATTTGATTTCAATACACATGTTCGTACGACTCGTTTGTCGCGTTTAGATATATAGCCGCATTTTTATAATTGATAAATCCAAAATTGATAATCTATAATTTATACTTGGATAATGTGAAAGTCAGTCCGAAAAAATCAGTCAAAAAAAATTGTTTCATGCTACTAAAGTAGCCTAAAGCTTTGCTGTACTCTGTTGGTTTAGGCTACCCCTACTGGTAGTACTACTTGTAAGTTGTATACTCTTTGCTGGGTAAGGGTCACATCTACTGACCATACCTCATGTCCGCATCATGCTGTTCTCAGACATATTCACGTCACTTAAGAGACGATCAGCGCAGTTATATGTTGCTTTTACGGGCCGTTTCAATAAAAGCGCCAATGGCACCTATGTCTAAACTCGTTCGAGTTATTAGTCTACTTTTAAATTCAATGTTCGGTCGAGAAGAGCTCCAATTGAGAGGGTCTCATCAGAAATTGGGCTATATGAAATGTTTTTGGTTTTCGAACAACATGGACAAAGGGCTATTGCGTTGTGAGTAAAATGCGGCCAATCAGGAAAGAGCGCGCAGATTTTAGTTCATACAATGGAACGATTTCCTTCACCCCCCCTACCCCTCCCAGACTTGTTAGGTGCGTTGTAAAGTCAATTCTTTGTTGCGGCCATGGGTGGGCATATATGTTAAAATCAATTGCAGTCGTTTGCATAGTACGTTCCTATGTTTAAACGCTCTACTTCTAGGTATAAAAAGTGACATACATGAACAGTGTGGTACCTCTATGTTATGTATAAGGCTAGCCATATATCGTAACCTAAAAGAGACTGCTCGCATTTAATCTGTAGCAGCCGTTTGTTTTAGTGATCGAGTCGATACAGGATTTCAACAAATTTGAAAAGCCCAAATGAGCGACACTTCGAAGGTAAATGTAATATGAATTTCCGTAATCTGCTCGTTTATGATAAGTTTGCTGTATTTTACTGCGAATGCTCCGTTGGAGTGACAACCTGGAACAAGGGTACAACCGGTTTAAACGCAATTGCAAAAACTAGTAACCTTCTGTAGAGACGGCAAGGAAAGCAAAATAAATATATAATGGACATTATTCGTGTACTGTGATGCGAAGAATCTCCTTTTTTAATGATTAGGTCCAAGCTATACAAGGAAAGCTATCCTTTGCTCGTGGCAAGCTTATTTTAATTTGAGTAACTCGTCTTCAAAGATATTTTCACGAATGGATGGCTTTGAATCCGGCCTGCCAACGTGCTAGGCGATCACGTCAGTTTTGCGCCATTGTTGACAGCAGATTATTTACAGGCGCTTGTCAGTATGTGTTCATGTACTTAGTAAATAAATTATACAGTGGGCTTAAACAACGCTGTTTTTCTGTGGATAGGAGAGATCGTTTTAAAATATGCGAGATACTAACGAAATCACCGAGCTAGTTTTATCGGTGACAGAACAATATTTTAATAACAACATTAATTCTTCCAACGGCATTTTCTGTCGAAATATTCGCCTCAATTTTTTTTTGCACACGTTGTACCTAAGCGAATTTATTCATCCGTAGATATCATTCTCTCATTAGTACGTACATTTTTCATTTGTGCTCTGTGACCACTCATATCGAGATAAGAAAATGCGGCCAGCGCGTTCAACGCACCTAAACGATTTTAAATTTCCCGCCTACCAGTGTAAATTAGACCCCTGTGAGAGATGTTACATGAAAAGTCTGGACTATCCAAATAAAAATACGGAACCAAACTGCTTCACGTTAGGTACTGGTCGGCGAAAAGTCTGATGGAACCTTTCTAACTAAAGTCATGCTTATAACGCTAAGTTAGCCGGTACGAACGTCTCGAAGAAGCATTTTACTATTGTTTCTTATAAAAGATAACACATGTTAACTATTTTCTTGCAATTAGCGGTTTTAATTGTCTTTTTGTTGTTACTTTAGCTGTTGCCGTAGTTTTCCTTGCTTAACATGTTCCTTGTGCTGGCTATCGATGTAGACCGTCTCCTAAAGAAGCGGTTCTGCGATTTAATAGCTTCACCGTACCTTTGAACCACATCTTTTTTCACCAGTCACCTGTCTGAAAGTCGTTCAGTAATGTGTCATGTTTGTCGTTATGAGTGAATTAATTTTGTTTACGGTATATAATGAACTGAGAGATAACTCTCAGCTCTTCTCTTTAGTGTTCCGGTCAAAAAATGTCCACCTTTGATTGTTATTGGCTTTTTTGTTTATGTTGTTTTCGTACTAACTGACACTTCCTTTTATCAGCTCTGTCTATGTCTGCGATTGCCGACTACCAGAATGATGACCGATTGGGCTTCATTTGAAAGTGTGCTTTGTCCACTCTGAATTTTTTTCCGGCTTATTCTTCATTACTGACAGATGATTTGCCATTATACCATATACGCCTATTAAACCAATAGGTTTATCCGATACTTTGATCTTTGCTATCTCCCCGCTTCTGTGTTATTTTTTTAGAATTTAGTTTTAAGAGAGTCCCACAGCTGTTTGGTATGTAAATTACGGTCGTAGCAGAGTAGCATCCTTGTCCAGATAATTCAAGGTATTATCTTAGGAATATTTTGAAGCGATTTGCGGATTAACTTGCATCTGGATACCTGTATATTTCGTTTATTAATCACGGCTCAATAAAGAGGTATATGTCTCGAGGAGTGTGCTTTATAGATCCATTTATGTCAAAATGCTTTACTGCATTTCTACTCCTTGAAAATCTAGAAGGAAGAGAGCGTTCAAAAGCAGATTTTGACTGTTAATCACATGTCTTTAACCCGAATTCTTCTTTTGCACAAAATCACGGGGAAACACCTCCCGCTAAAGCATCATCTGTCAATCAGGCTAAACATATATGTTTTTTCAAGAAAGCTACTAATGTTTCTCAGTTGAAAAAAACCCAAAATTATTGAGCCACATTCGCTTCAAGTCTTGATAAGGGAAGCGTCGGTTACGGTATTATGCGATAAACTTATTTCACTTTAACTCTGTGCATTCCTTTCTTAGTGTGTGTGTGTGGCTGAGGGAAGATTAGTAGTTTGTTGTTGTTGCTGCTGCTGCTGCTCTAATGAAATCAGTCTTGCATGTGATGGATTAATTATTTGTTTTATTATAATATTACTCTCTGAATGATTCACTGCCGTTTTTGCCGTTATTATTAAGGTTAGTACAATGTAGTTATATGTTACCGTTGTGTTTCTAAATCGTATAGGTAGACCACAAAACCGCCCAAAGTAATCTTCACTTTTCACCTCATCGTCGTCTTCGTACGTGTACGTAGTACATTTTTTCCTCTCGTATAACTTGTCAGTTTTATGACATGCCCTCTGTCAGACTGTGCGCGCCCCCTCTGTGTACTTCTTTTTTGTATTTTCGTATCTCTGGCAGCTTTTGTTTATTTTGCCCTATTCTCAGCAAAACTCCGTTGATTCTGCTGCTGCCGACGAAAAAGTCTGCATGCTTTAGGTCGATTGAACCGGCAACACGTTCGCTTTTAACGCTCCTTTTTTTTTGTGCCAATAGTTGAGGCAATGCTTACCTATCCAATCTGTTGTTCCTTCACATCCCACTCCCTACACCGCCTTTCTCGCATAGCCATTAGCTTCATCGTATATAATTATAGCATTTACTTAAATATTTTTCTTAGTTTCTTCTTAGTTTCTTAGTTACTTCTGGATACCTGGAGCTCAGAAAAAAAGAATCTGTCCAATATTGAACTTAGCCTTTCCTAGTTTATATCGTTTCTACCTCTCATGCGAACAATTACGACACACGTAGAATTCTGAACTCAATAGCGTCCGTCTGTCTTTTTCTGTAGGACAGCGTCCATTAGCAGATATTAGGGACAGTTGTCGACTGCCAGTCCTATTTATATATAGTTACTCCATCCTAAAAATTATATGTGTATTAATGTTTTCAACAAAATGACTTTTATGGTGGGTACTTTGCTTTCTGATAAATCTATCCGTCTGACGAATTATTTCGCACAAGGGCTTCGCTTTCCATTCCATGTCCGCGTCGTTATTGTGTTATCTTCATCACGAGGCCGCGTTTAGTCGTATCATCATTTTTGCGATTTCGTTTTGCGTATATTGTAATTATTAATATTACTATTATTTCTATATTATCATGGGTTCAAGCCGTCTTACATGCTCTTCTTTATATCATTATTAGTTTTACGGTCATTTCATGAAATACTGCTTTGAATATATACTATGTTCATGTAATTATATTTATATATCCATTCCTTGTAGTGTGAACAAATCTTATCGGACTTATTTTTGGACGTCGTTGCGCAAACTGTCATTACTAACTATGTATGTACTTTTTGCCTTCAATCCATTCATCCATCCATCCATCCATCCATCCATCCATCCATCCATATTGTTTCCCTGCTCGCTTATGAAAAATCAGCATTTCTCGTTTTTTTTTTTTATTTTATTATTCTTCAGCTTTTTCATCTTTGTTTTCCTTTTAGTGTCTAGTCACTCTGTGTCGAAATATCTCGCCGCTTGAATACCTCTTTTTGGTAGCATCTGAGGTCTACATTCCTTCCATGCACTGCCCTCGGGCTCCCATCCCGGAGCTGCTCCCAGACATTTGAGGCACCCCTGTCACGTTCATCAATTGTTACACAAAGATTTTTTCACTGTTATTAGTTTCCATAAAGGATCATAATTAGCATTATATATTGTCATTGTTCCATATCGCATGTTACGTTTTCTGCTGTCGTTGTTATCTTGATTAATATAATTATAACTATTTATATTATCATTAGTATTCGTATAATCGATTTGTATACTCATCCGTTTGGTTGCTAAGAATCGTTATCAGGCTAAAAGAGATCATCATATTCATTATTATTGTTGTTATTATTCATGTTTTTCTGCCTTCTACATAAATACAATTGTGTTTATTTTGGTGTATGACTGCTTTTTGACATACAGTAGTAGTCTATCGCGTTTCTAAGTTATTGAGTTTATATATTTTTTATGTGTTTATCACTCACTCATTACTTTACCCCAATCTTGTGTTTTTCTACTACTGTCACAAGGCCATCTAATTACGGCCTTGTCAGCTGTTGTCATCTGCTATGGCTGCAAATCGGCTCACTCGTCGTACGATACAATCAACCTTTAAAAATTAATCATGGAATGGATCAGGCAATCAAACAATTACTTAATCAGTCAATTGCAGTATGTAGATATGTGTCTGTATTTCTCTTCGCGGTAATAATCCTTATATACTTCCCCATCAGCTTGTAGCTTATTTATTTCGTTCTGTTTACGATTATTGTTAGTATTATATAAACAAAATGAGCCCAACAAAAGGCATCATAACCTCCCACCCCCTGCCGCAAGGGGGAGGTTGCGACACTGAGACAACACCATTAGCATCTGCGCAATATATATACAATGCGGCATCATAATTTATTTTTCTTTATCGTTTTCCATAACTTCACCGCCAATACCTTACCATTATAGAATGAAGTGTAGATTCTACGCACTGATTCGCGAGTCTCCGTTTCATTTGTTTGCAATTGTTGATGTTGCTGCTGGCCATAATAGTGTTGTTGTCTGTAAGAATGTGGGTGAAATATTACCAGCCCACTTAGCGCTCACACTTGCCGCTTAAAAACCATCGTCACGCGAAGTGTTCAGACGTGTGCATTATACGTACATATTTTCTTCAATCTACGCTTTTTTTTTCTCATTCAAGGCCTCGTGTCATATTGTTATACAATCACTATAACTTTTGCGCCTTATCGATGACCTCTGTTTACGAGGAAACGCAGCGCCCACTCTTCAGCATCAGAAAATGGTCTTCACAAAGCTATCAATTTTTTCTCGTTACCTCGTCTTCGACCTGACTTCTCTGGCTCCGAGTGCTCTCTGACCCTCTCCCGTCAGCGCAGGTTGTTTTTTGCTTCGCATGTCAGTTGAAATTTTTGCATCGACGTTGGCTCACATCTTTCGCCATTTTCGTTTCCCTACAGTTTTCTAACCTCTCAAAACGTTCGATCTGAGGTCGTTTTCTTTCCTTAGTCTGACTAGCTATTTCTAACAGCCTGGCATCTACGTGATGGATCTCTGACTTTCTCTGCGCGGGCACTGCGCTCCCAGAAGTCTGGAACCTCAATCAGTCAGCGTTAAAGAAGACATCGTCCCCGGATGGTGAAGTTTTTGATGCCGTTTATATTTTTTCGGCTACTATTTCCGTTGCTTCCCCCGTTGATTCTGGTTTAGATGAAGGCCTTCATGAAACAGCAGATGAATTTGGCGGTACTTATGACGCTGTTGCAGGTCGTGTTCACGCCGCTGGACGAGACGATGACGACAGCGATGATTCAAACCCTCTAATAGACCTTGCAATGTCGGCGGTGGCTGAGGCGACTGATTCTCCTGGTGATTTGCTCCCTGTGGCAACGTCTGCTGAAGGGACAACCTGCGACTACTGCCGAGGCTGCTATGGTTGGGACTAGCAACGGTATTATCCTTAGTGTTGCCGCTACTGCTGCGATTAGTATCGTTTGCGACGAGTGCCGTCACGGGCTGTCACACTTCGTCCCTAGAACTATAACTCGATCGACGGCTGTTGAACGGTGGAATATGTACAACGGGTTCTTGATCGGACTTGCAGCGTGACAGGTGGCGTGGCGAAGCCGCAGATGATGGACTACCGGTGACCGGCAGGGTGTACTTCGAAACGCTGCTACAACTGCTCTCAACGGGATTGCCAACAACACCCGCCACGGCTAAGGGATCGCAAGGAGGAACTGTAGAAAGTACCACACATCACAGAGTAATATGCAAGACTAGTTACAAAAAGAAAGCCGAGAGAAAAATAAATAAACACGAAGAAAAATGCTACGCATAAACGGATTTTTTTAACTGGAAGCCTTCATTTGACAACACGCAGTTGAATAAATTTGAAAACATTTGATGTACCATTTGCCATATATATTTTATCCCAGATGACATTATGCCTATGCTTTGTATACATTTTAAATCTGTTATTATAAGCACTATTTTTTTTAAACTCGCATTTCCAATCAAAATTAGGTTGATTGGAACAAAAGATCTTTAAATAAAAATGCTATTTTCAAAACTATGCCCGTGAAGGGGTGTGGAACATATCAAACATATAAGCTTCAAAATGATTATCTACTACTTCAAGTATTCCTATGAAAAAGAAGGAAAAGATGCTGATCTAATGATGGCTGTGTGTATTTATAATGTTTTGGCTACGTGATGCCAGACCTATGCGCAACGCTACCAAAGTTTAGGACACGCTAATTCTCATTGATAACAAGTCATTGCGTGATCAGCGTTTTCACTGCGGCTTTGCGGTGCCAGTGAGCCAATGAGGGTCAGATGTATGTAATTATTACTAAAGTTTTGATGGTATTATCGAAATTTAATTCGATTCGATTCAATAAACTGTGCCGTAATGATGGCAGCCTTTTATTTCGTCCAAACCTGATCTTCGTCTCCAATTTGGCGCGGTTTCGGCCGTCAAAGGCCTTCGTTTTCGATAACTGTTCTCTTCGCTTTCATACGTATATCAGTAATCAACGAATTGAAACGCTACGACCCATGCGATTTCTTGCCATGTCGTGGTGAAGCTTCAAACTCGCGTACGCCGGCCGTATCGAGGTGTAAGCATCTGAGTACCTGAGACTCCATTTCGGAGGTACACAAAGAGGTCGCCGTCGGCGGCATAGAAGTCGCCGTAACGGGGACGGCTACTAAAAATCAGAATAGGATGTGGAATTTTTGGAGCGGTCTGTCTATTTAAGACCCAAGGTTGTCATGGCACAATTGAACAAGTAACTTACTTCGCTACGGGTCGACAATAGACAAGGTCTTAGGTAAAACGAAGCATGCGATAAAGGAAAACATGATCAGCAATAAGAAAGAAAAGTAAACGTACAAAAGTGAGTGATATTCTACTGCCACCTTTTATGGCGTAGCCTCTTTCTGTCTATCAGTGTCCTCATGTATCTCAAATAGAAATATGGAGCACAGTAAAAATTATCTAACGAAAATTACATGGATTGAAAGTCTACTTCATTGACAACGACAGAAGGGCAGATACCTCACTGTCAACGTCCTCATCGCTATTGTTCAATACTATCGTTATCGTGTCTTCACTTTAGTCTATCGGCTTCAGATCGAATCGGCTCACTTCACTCACCAATCTCGTCTGTATACGACGAGCTATCGCTGAGGTCAGATGAGTTGTTACTACCACGGTTGAGGTGTAAAGGACCGGCGCCTCCTCCGACGGTGGACACCGGATGGCCACCTGTGATAAGGCCCTGTATGTGCTCGGTGATACGTTTAAAGCGGCGTACCGAGCCCGAGACGAGCGTAAATGTTAGGACGAAGCTAGTCGGCTCGTGTACTTCCTGCGAATGGTTACCGCCGACGACGGGTTCAGTCTCCTGGGGAAGCAGGTCGACGTGAAAGCGAACGTTGCGCTGAAAGTGTGACGCGGGACTGGAGCGGGCGGAGGAGTGGCCGCGTTTGTACTCGACGCGGAACGATGTCGGAGACACCACACTGTGCGACAGGTCAGACACCGACAGGAATGCGTGAATTAAGTCGGCTGAAAATGCAGATGGAAAATTTGTCAACATCCCAATGAGCTGATAACGTGATCTATTGACGAACAATACTTGGGTGTCTTTAAAGGCAGATGCACAAAATATTCTTTGTTTGTTTAAAAATACAATGTAATAAGGTCGCATTTACCGTGAAATTCTCGATGACGTTAATTTTGTGTGCAGTGAAAACCACAGAAAATGAAATATCTTTCTCCTAACGTATACGCATACTATTGAAGTCTAGTTACTATTCCGTTGAACCCGAGCTCAGTTAAACATAGCAACAAATCTGATGGATAAATATTTTGATATTTATCAATCCAAATTCAAAACCAAACGATAATCGGATACCGCAAAACGGCTTTATGACTTATGAGGACTAAACTGCATAGAGCTGCCCAATTTTACTCTGGCTATTCAAGAATGTCCACTTTGTAGCCGAAACAAAATACTATTCCAGTTATTACGCAGTAACCTCATATGCGGCAATTATTATTTCTCTTATTAATGTAGTTAAAACGCAGCTTCTCACTGAGACGAAATTATCGAAAAGACAGGCAAGTGCTGGAAATAAAAAGACAGTACACGCTTTATTGCAGCACCAACCTTTGAGAGAACTGAGCTGTCGGTTTTGTATAACGATAGTGGTCCGGCTATCTTCCGCGGACGTGGCGCTCCTCTTCCGCTCGCCCATTAACGGCGAGCCCGCTGTCATTGGGGTCAAGAAGCCCCCAAACCACGATCTCTTTGATAACTCGGGAGACGACTCGGGCGTCAGCCCGCCCGACGGTGGTTGGGCCATCTTGCTTCGTCGATGAAATCTGAGCATTAGAACGTCCATATTTGAGCGTGTATTCATGAAATAGCGCTGAATTGTCCACAAGCGTGAGCTTTTCAATTGAATAATGTCAATGTCACCAATAGTATGCGTCTAGCATAGAAAATACGATAGCGAATGCAACGAACTTCAACTTGCTTTTAAAAAACCCAGGTTAGAGGAAGGAAAGCTTTGGCCAGTCCGGCTTTGGATCAATGTATAACAGTGGGGAGTAGACGCTACCCTCCAACTGGCAAAAGCTCGACCGTCGCAAATTTAACGGAGCAGCATTATCATACACTACTATAAGTTAACTACACTCAATTACCTTAATGTTTCCATTTACACATAGCATCAATAACAGCAAGCGAATTAGATACTGTGTGTTTGTTTGTACCGCATACCTAGGGGATCCCATGAGGAACGAGTTCTTGATGGTATTATGTATCCTGTTTCGCCAATAGGGTGTTCCAGGCGAGCCCGGTGGCGTGGTGCCCTTGTTGAGCTCATGAGGCCCGTGTGATGGCAAGCCACCGTGCCCAGGAAGACCGGTATGACTTCCGTGGCCGGTAGCGTGGCCCAGCGATGTGTGGCCCAACAGGGGCGAATGCGGGTGAGCCCCGTGGCCGTTATTCTGCTGATCATGAAGGATACGAGGTGAGCCACACCGGTTCGATGGTGACAGCTGAGGCGACATCCCTGTGAGGGAAGTGGTCGAGCTTCGTCGAGATCCCCTGCGAAGGCGTAGAAATATTATAGAACAAATACAATCGTATTACGTATTAGAAAATTACGGCACTGGTTCGATTGCGAAATGCCTTCCAAAGCAGAATCCGCGTCAAAATTAGCGGGAAGGAAATGGTTGAAAAGCGGACTCACGAAATCGATAATCTAGACAAATTGGTAAGCTGAAAAATTCGACAAGCAGGTAAAGAGGAAATTATCCCAAATGCTGTAGACTTATGCTTGGTTCAAGTAATTTCTGTATATGTAGCAACTAGCCTGATACGTACATGGCAGCCGGAAAATACCGTCTGCCTGTGACAGGCGAGCCTTCGCTGAGCATCATATTTTCGTAGCATCCGTTGATACGCGAGTAGGTAGGGGCCTGGTCCACTCGCTTGCGAGGGGGGTCAGCTGTAAACAAGCGTAATACACTATTATGATCGATTCGTAAGGTATTTACATATAAAAAAAACCTTTTTATAGCTGGCAAAACATCTCGAACGTAGAACGTACGTAGTTTATGTGATACGCACGCGATGTGTGAAATAGCTGAATCTTTAGTTCGATTTGTCCAAAGCAGTATAATAAGTGATCACAGCTGCGTTTACACATGAAATTTAGGAAAAATTGGCAACATTTTAATCAATTGGGCGCAACAGTATATCGTCAAGTATACGTTTATTTGGTTTTCATACGGTCATAAACGGTTCGGTACAGCTTATTGTAGGAATCCTTGAGCCTGACTCATTAATCGTATACGTCAACTGGGTTAGACAGTGATAGAACTCGCTTTTAGAGCATCACTTAACCATACAATATTGGTGAATATACCAACATGAGCGTCGATGGGCGTTCTCTTTATTACCTGATTCGGAACGATTTCTGATGATGACTTCAGTCTCATCTTCATACGCGGGGCGTCGATTTTTTCGGTCTAATAGCAGAAAATATATGACTTTCTCGTTGTTGTGGCTATCGAAATAGAAGAGCAAGGACAGACAAAAAGAGGCATGTAAGTAAGCATTGATTTCAAATACAACCGCGGAAGCAAATACGAGCGATGAAACAAGGTAGAAATATATTAAGTATA